GGCCAGCATGACTAAGCCACTTCTGGCGAACCAGAGCAGCGCACGGAAATGCCATTTACCTTCCTGTTGTAGTGGTACCTATTCATCTACTTGAACTTTGACGTGCTTTCAAACTGCTAGGTTGGCAGGAGTAGGGACCAAGCAACGGGAGCTCACCCCATTGCGGGGATTCGAACCGCCGACCTTCTGATCGGCAAGCCCTAGGCTCTGTGGTTCTATGTACCTTGACCTAAACAGGAGTTCCTTGCTACAGTGCCACCTGCGTCCCAAAGGTAAAGGTAAAGGACCCCTGACAGTTAAGTCCAATCGCAGACGACTCTGGGATTGTGGCGCTCATCTCGCTTTACAGGCCGAGGGAGTCAGTGTTTGTCCACAGTCAGTTTTTCCGGGTCATGTGGCCAGCATGATTAAGCCACTTCTGGTGCAACGGAACCCTGAAACCAGAGAAGCACATGGAAACGCTGTTTACCTTACCACTGGAGCAGAACCTATTTATCTACTTGCACTTTTTGGGGTGTGCTATCGAACTGCTAGGTTGGCAGGAGCTGGGACAGAGCAACGGGAGTTCACCCTATCGTGGGGATTTGAACCACCGAACTTCTGATTGGCAAGCCCAAGAGGCCCAGTGGTTTAGACGACAGAGCCATCTCCCCTATAGGGCAACTTGCCCCATGTGGTTGTCCACCTTACTCCTGTGGGTGAGTCCATCTCTCCTCTTTGTGCAGGGGAGGAGGGTGTGGCAAATGTGTCCCTTCCCCATCTTCCTGGTACAGAGAAGGAACTGAATTCGTCTGTTGCATTTGCCATTTCAGTGAAGCTACCTAAGCTACATGATGAAATATGATCCAAAAGAACTTTGATTGCATTTCACTGAATGAAAACACAACTGAGATAATAACACTTATTAATTGCAGATGTTTAATAAAGTAGATTAAAAACAACAGCTTGGATATTACTGGAAAACAATGATGAAAAATAAATTAATCATTCTTATTAGTTTTATTAAACACAGAAAGGCCTGTTCAAGCATTTAATTGACTTTTTAAGGAGACATCTTTAAGCAAATTCATTAGGTGACAGTTAATTACGATGCACACTAATTAGCACTTAGCTATAATGACTTCATTTATTTATCAGGAGTATTTTGGACATAGTTTATTGCAAGCATACATTCAAGGATGTCTTATAAATAAGTCTTATATGTCTGTAGATGGAGGCAAAAAGCTGAGTCCATATACTGTATGCGGGATACTCATGTATGTTTATTGGGTTTTCTGCAGAGACCCAAAAGAAATCATGGTTAAGATAACAAGCTATTTTTGGTAATGAAAGAAGGAATACAAAGGAGTTGACAATTCAATTTGAGCAATGTTGAGAGTGTGGCTGTATCAAAAATTATTATGGAAAAAAAGGCTTTCCTTGTGAATACAGCCCTATTCAACTCTGTTGCTTGGGACAGCTGTGGAACTGCAACTATAAGCTGAAATTCTCAACATCTTATGTTCCTGAATAATGAAAATTATAGGTGTGCTATGGTTTCATGATTGCAATTTATTATCATCATTACAAAACACCAAATATAATTAAACCTAAGGAGAAACATCAAAACAGACTTCAGCATGTCAGAGGACAGTATCACACATCCATTTTATCGTATTGTACAAAACTCACTTTCAATCAAGTTGTTTTCATAGAGAAAACTCACATCAGCCCAAGGCAACATGGCCATGATCAGGGGTTAGGCTATGTGGTTATAGTCCAGCAATGTCTAGGGGGCCATAGGTTCTCTAGCCCTGATTTATATGAAAGTTTGTCTTTTATCTTTATTCCAAATTATGAGATCCAATTCAAACTAGCAATCAAGTCATTGAGATCAAAGTATTGTGGAGTGATTATTGAATTTTTTGAATGTTTATAGCTCTTTGGCTTCCTGCCACAATAAAACCACTGAGATGTGCAATAATCACACAGGAACTGCCATGTCCTTCATATTTTATTGGTTAAAAATCTCTTGTTGCTATTACTTGGTCCCAATTAACCATGGCAGGTGGGTGGCTAATAATTAATCATAACTATTCAGTTTTTAACATTTTGGGGGGAAATAGTCTCTACAGAAATGATTGTCTGAATTGATACTGGAGAGCAATACTTGCCATTGATTTCAGGGGACTGGAATAAGATGGAAAATAAATCTGGAGCAGACAACATAAGACATGGAAGCAGAGAAATGGTAGAAGAGCACTTTTGGATGATGATTTACGTCAGAAATTGCTTTGTTATTCTTTGGGATATAGCTGGTCCTCTTGCCCAGTGATCTTTGCATTATCATATATGTAGTTGTCCAATGGTGGCTGGTGCCCATTGGGAATGGTAAGGTGGAAGACAAGGGGATCAAAAGTGGGTGGGTCTAGCACCAATGATAAGTAGAGGCAACTCAGTCTCATTTTGTCCCTATCCTCCTCCTCTGCTAAGTTCTATAAGGGCATCACTGAGACTAAATAATAGGAAGCTGCCACAGGCAGTGACACACCCTGAATTGATTGAAAGGCAGACAAGTGGGGACTGGCTGAAGGTTGAGACTTCCTGGTGAAGGGCTGTGGCACACTCACCCACTTCCCATAATATCTCCCCTCCGCTCTCTAGTGAGGTAGCATAGAACCCCAAGAGACTTTTAGCCTTCTGGAGCTCAAATCTTATTATAGGATTAGAGGGCAATTACTGTATTTGGGAAACCAAATAAAATGGGGGATTTTTGAGACAATGGCCTTCAAGTATCTGGTGGGCTTCCACGCAGACGGTAGAGCAGATCTGCTCTCAGTTGCTGCAAAGAAGCAGGACTAGAACCAAGGGGTAGAAATTCCAGGGAAGCAATTTTTAGGCTAAGCATTAAAAGAAACTCCCTAACAGTAAAAGCTGCTCAGCATTATTCTTTTAGACTGCCTTGAGACTCCCTTTTATCAAGAAGTCTTAAGGAGTGGTTGTGAAGGATGCATTGCTGATTCTTTGCTGATCAGTCCATAAGAAGAGTGCCTTCAATATGCACTTTTAGGTGCCAGGCGAAATTGTTCTTCTTCAACCTGGCCTTTGGCTGATTAACACCCTATACTCTTTTAAATGTGTTTGGGGGAGGAGGGTTATTATTTTTTATTTGTTCTTGTTTTTATTATATTGTTTGTATTTTTATCTTGTGAACCACCCTGTTATCTATGGATGAAATGTGGTATACAAATTTAATAAATAATAGTAGTAGTAGTAGTAATATAATAACAAAGAGTTTGCTGGATTACGCCAGTGACCCATCTAGTCCAGAATCCTGTCTTTGCAATGGTCACCTTGGGAAGGACTTGTAACTGAGTGGTAGAACATATGCTTTGCGTGCCGAAGGTTCCTTGCATCTTTCGGTAGAGCTGGAAGAGATGCCTGTCACAGAGAGCTACTGAAGTCAATGGAGACAAAAAGGAACTAAATGGACCAATGATCTGGCTTGGCATAAAGCAGCTTCCTATCTCTATAGCCTTGGAGAAGCCCACAAGCAGGCCCTGTGTGCAACAGCACCCTTCCTGTGGTTTTCAGCAACCGGTCTTCTAACTGTGGAGGTAGATGACTAGATGAGGTTGGACTAGATGCCTTCTAAGGTCCCTTCAAACTAGGATTTCTTTGAGTAGGTTTGGAGAAAGAGCCGCTGGGGAAATTATTAAGCAGCCCTTCACCTAATGCTCCGGTTGAAATCCCTCCTCTAGCTGCTCTTTTTTATCATTAGAAAATGGCACTGGGCTCCATTGTATATGCATATGAATAGCATGTAGTTAGATCCCCCTTTCTCTGATACGTGACCTGCCTACATATTTTATAGCAGTTCTAATCCTTCACTGTCAATATTAACTCTAGGCTACAGTCCACCTGCAGAGAACCATGTGGCTAAATCCACACGCCTAGAGGGGCTTTCGACAAGCTTTTCTAAGCAGCGGCAGCAGCATCTCCCTATGAAAAATGCCTTTGAACCTCAGCGGAGTTACCAAAAATCCCTCTCATTTACAAGAAAGTATGAGATTGTCGTTCAAAGCAAGGTGGAAATGCCAATATTCTCACTGGGCATGTCCAATCCTTGGAGTGTGCCTAAAGAAACTTCTGGGTTGTAGTCAACATGACTTAGCATGCTATAGGGGAGACAGCGGAAATTAAAAAGAAGGTATTAAGCATATGTTCAGCGCTATCTGTTACAGGCATACTTAGAGAGTTAACACAGATTAGCATGGGATGAAAAGGAAAAAGATGTTTCAAAGAACAGATGGCTGATGAAACAGCTGCAGGTAACAAAAGAAATAGGCACAAAAACAAAAACAAAGATGTTTCCCAAAAAGGCAAAAGCACTACTCCATTTACAAACATTATGCATATCTGTTGCATGTATTGTGGTCTTCTGGGAGCAGATAAAAGGGTGTGACAACTCAAATGTGGATTTTAAAGGTCTGAAATATGCATATGTAACCTGGAAACAATGAAAAGTACAAATTTGCCTGCTTTAAAGTCTTCTCAGTTTCTGAAAAGCAATTAAGAAAATCACACCAGTTTCAGCGCTCTCGTTTTATCATTTTTCTGCAATCTGTTGACTGAAGTGCATACAATAGGCCTGTTTGTGTAGCCAGATTGTAATGTATGGAGGTGGGGGGTGTAGTTTGTGGTAGCAAACTTCTGCCCTCACAACCCTAGTCCAGAGCTGTCATCTACACTCAACTGTATAAGAACATCCAAATGTGCAGAAGTTGTCTGTGCATCTTTTTTTTTGGAACAGGGGCTCTTGACCAGGCATGATTTTAATATTTCTGACCTTTTCACCAGGCCATATTAATTTAAAGGGAGCATGGCTGCAAGTGATTAACAAGCAATTTACAAAGTACCGGTACACTAAAAAGGAAAAAAACCCCTGCAAGGATTAGAATCTGTTGCTGTGTTACTATAAAGAAAATTATCATGATTATGTTTTCATTTTAAAAGATAGCCTCATTTTGGGATCTTTCAAATCTCATACTTAGTTATATTTAAATATTGTCTTTGCAGTGGTGCAGTTCTAAGCATATTTCTGTGGAAAGAAGTCTTCTTGTGGTAAGCAGGACTTATACACAACTGAACACAGCCACCACTAACCCATAATATTCAGAGCTAGAGTGTTTATTTCCCTAAGCTACTTGCCAGGCCTGTGTATTCTGTCAAAAGTAAGTATTTTTAGTGGTGTCATTATTATTTCTATACCATTTCTGATTTTATACATGTGCCAGACTGTATATAGGCATTGTCAGATCACTTGACCAGTTCAAATGGTTGACTGAAGGATGAAAACATGGGAGAGGATTTTCCAGTAAAGAGGATCTTCCATAGCTTCAGAATTGTGTGTCCTTGATTTTTCTGTAACAGATTGAGAGAAAGCATTTTGGGGACTCTTGTGCTTTTCATGGCCTCACATTGGCTTCATATTGAAAACACAGAGAAACATTCTTCAAAGCAAAGTTCTTCCCTCTGAATCTTTCTGGAGGCATTGTTTTGACAAATGAAAGGCAAAACAGAGAACAGAGCATGGATAGGGATATAAGAAGCTCCATAGGCATGTTTTTATAAGGTTACTGTGGGAGGTAATATGAATATTGTAAAACTCTTTGCACATTGTAAACTGCTACAGAAATGTGTATTATGAATGTATAAGAAGGTAACAGACTTTTGTTTGTTTTTAATTTCATTTAATAATAATAATAATAATAATAAATCTGGAGTGTTGCTTTATATAAACTCAATGCATTTGTTCTCACAGTGCAACTGAAGTTCAAACTTTCTGTCAAGCAAGAAAAAGGAGAAGTCATAGTAAATACTGAGCCTTCAAACCTACAAGCTCGAGTAGCATGATACTGAAATGTCACTGACAGCAGGATATATGGGAACAAGAGGTAGTTCTCAGTGGGATTTACCACTTCTTATCAAGAGAAGAAAGGAGAACTGAAACTATCCATGTTGTGACACAACAGATGGAGGATTCATGGAATGCCTTATTCACTCTAGGAGCAATTTTAACTGTCCAGCATTGACAGTCTCTTGAATTTCAATTCCTTTAAAGGGAAATAGCATTATTTCTACTATACTGCTTATGAACCTAAAAAGGCTAATTCGTGAGAAAGATTGGTTTAATGTCAAAGGATTTCTTTTTCTATTTCACTCACATAAACTTGGCAGAGCGATGATTATTTCCCTGTGTCTTTAAGTGCATTGAATTATACTATATACATTCTGCTTGAGTTTTAAAACAAGAACAGTGCACACCCCAGAAACTGCTGCTGATATTGAGACTATTTATTCTTTTAGGTTCAACGTGGTGTAATTTATCTTCTTCCTTTCTGACACTTAGCAATGTCACAAAGTATTTAATTCCACTTCCCTGGCATGTCTTAGCTTAGAGTGCTACTGTCGGTGAAAACACATCCTCATTTACATGCATTACCTCTTATATAAGAGTATACATACAAGCCTACAATAAATAATTTTCCCAATATGCTTCAATCAACAAAGTGACATATGCAATTTGACATGACATGAGTAAAATGAAAACTGCTGCCTTATTGACATGTACACAGAACAGAACTGGGGAAATGGCACGCTGCAGTTTTATATTATCCTGAATAAAACCAACTAAGGGGCTTCTAGCTTTGGGGATGCTTTTCATAAATTTATGAACTCATTTCTCACAATTGTCAGCATGGGCATTGCACAGTGTATATCTTTAATGGCTTTCTATTTACATACCTCCAGTGGGGATATCTTGCTTACCTTGTGACAGATATCATGCAGCTGAAACACTTTTCTGCCCTTTAAAGAATATTTAAAGTAGTTTTATGGAAGATCATTGAAAGAAGTTAGAATTGGATGGGATGCTATTAACTCAAGTGCATATCTTATTCAGTCTTATTGAAAAAGAGGGAAACAAAAAGATCACCTAAAACCCCAGGGTACCAAATTTGGAGTTGGAATGGCATAAGCTTTGAGTAAGTATGCATTAGGCACCACTTCTGGAAGGTGAACACTTGTTGTGTTTGTCCTGAGCTACCAGCCCCACCCTTTCTTCTGACTTTCATCTATACTGAACCTTCCTCTATAATTTAAATTTAGTTTGCTCTTTTCCCTGCTTGCCCTTCTGCATATAGCTCTTAACAATTGCTGATTTTGGCAGCCGTTCAAGACAATTTATGTAGCTTATTTCCTATAAATATACTAGAATTTATTTACAGATGACACTGTTTGCTTATGTTAATCCTGCTAAAGGCAACTCAAATGAACAACATCATGCTGTTAACACATTCATTTGTACATTAGCATTCCCAAAAAACTTGCTAGGCAAAAATAAATTAATTTCCAGTATGTTTTAAACCTTGAGGAGCCCTCAGAGTTTCATGCCATATTCTATGCACCTTGACCTAAACAGGAGTTCCTTGCTACTAAGCATCACAAATCCCATGGAAACATCTTGGAGGGTTTGGTCAGATCAGGACAAAGGGTGAGAGGAGCTTGAGGAGTTGGAGACTGATGATTCCAGGGAGAGACACAGAGAGCTGGGCCCTACAAGACTTCAGGGTTGTTAGGAGAGGACACAGTGGGAGTGAGCTGGATCATGGGGAGGGGACCAGTCAGCTGTCGCTTACACAATACTCATCAAGTCAGCCTGAAGCCCCCAATTTGCTTCCCATGCTGCCAGATCTTCTCCTCCCGCCAGCTACTGCTGGCATGTCTCTGCCGACAGAGCAAGTATCAGATGCTAGTTTTTATCCTAATGCTGTCTCGTCCTCCATCACTTGTGAAATGGAGCTGCCCATGCAAACAGATAGCTTAGGTTAAATTCTCTAAAAGGAGTTCCTGTTTGCTTCTCCAGCCCAAAAATGCACCCAGATTGCTGTGCTAAAGCCATACCCTCCTCCTTTATAATAGCAATCCAGGAGGCATATTGATTGTTGAATCAATGTCTTAGCTTGCCTAGCCATGCCTTACACCTCCCTTGCCTATGATCTTTCCCTTGCTTATGTACCTTACAGTAGAAATTGCGACCAAAGTTTGAGTTCTTCAGCTAGCAGGAGCCAGGACATTCACCTAAGTTATCCCATTGGCAATTTTCCTTGCAGAAAGTAAAATGGTGTCAGTTTTTGCTAGTGCATATCTTTTTGGAGAGATCATCGGAGCATTGGTCCCGAAGGGATCAAAAGTGTTGAGCCATTCAAAAGCAAGGGCAGTGCTGAGACAGGAAACATTGCATTCACTGTCTTTTGGGTTACTCTGCTGTCAGTGACATTGTTACATAGTACAGTCATACCTCCAGTTGCGAACGTGATCCGTCTAGGAGGCACGTTTGCAACCCGTAGCGTTCATAGCCTGAAGCGCCCCATCTGCGCACGCACTTAACGCAATTCGGCACTTCTGCACATGCATGTGATGTCATTTTTTGATTTGGCGCATGAGCAAGCACCAAAACCCAGAAGTAACCCATTCCGGTACTTCTGGGTTTGGCGCGGTCTGCAACCCGAAAATACGCAACCCGCAGCGTTCGTAACCCGAGGTATGACTGTAAACTCATGTTACCAGTATGGAGTCAGGGCATCAGTGTAGAGTCACGACAGAAACTCTGGCTAGAATCAGCCATGTGTTGAGAATAAAAACACCTAAATAATAGCTTACCCATTTCCCAGATGGGCGGCAGTTGTGGCCCCTCGCATTCGTCCACCATCCCCAGCAGCCTGAGCATGTGAGTTTGTCAGACTATTAGGAATTTCCCCAGCAGGGTGGGAATGCCTGCCAAAAATGTGATTTTAAAATGGGCCAATCAGAGATAGTTAAGACATTGGGTGGAATCCTAGTCTTCCAGTTTTTGGATAAGTGGTGCATCAGCCTGTCCTGAATACCTGTGGGGTATTCAGGGTACCCCAATAGAGGGGTCTTGGTGGAAGTCTCTGCCAGAAGCAAGTTTGGAGCAGACAGGCCATTGAGCTTCCAGTGGCAGCCTTAGGATGGCCACCTAAGTTGATCGGCATCTTTGGGAAGCCATAATCCTTAGCATGGCCCTGAAACAGTTTCAGCCCTCTGGCAGATATACACCCAATGCCTGAGCCAAAATTCCACTTACATCTGTAATCAATAAAATTGTGACCATTTTTAATCCAGATCATTATCTGCTTGAGTTTGTTACTCCTTACTTTAGTCACTGCCTAGGGGAGGGGGGAGCTGTGACTGGGAATGCAATGCAGATAGGCATCAATCTATGGAATTGCCCTCTTTCTGGACATTGTAACTGAGACCAGGATGCACCAGCACTTGAAGTGGCAGAAACTTCCATCTCATCAGTAGAAGAGTGAGAGAGCTTTGCAATCCTCCATCCTTCAAAACAACTTCACAAAGCCATCTCTCATTGGCTTTTTACTGCCCTGGGGATGGTGCCCTACAACCTCTGTTACCAGGCTTTGCTGAAATATTGTATTATAATAAATCAATTTGTTTTACACATCAAAGAAAAGCCAAAGCTTATTTGTGTCTCCTCAGACAATATATATCCTCTTACTTAAGAGAACATGAATTAATGCAACACATCAAGTTCACAACAATGTAGAAACTTTCCTAACTGTGTGAATCTTCACAGAGAAAAACTGCCTGGATAAGTGACAAAAAGGAACATTCTTTACATGTCAGTTCAGGAAAAAGAAAGAGGCAAGTTCCAGCATATGAGGCAGATGTCACAAACATTTAAACAGCTGTCAGAACCAGTTCAGTCTGTCATTAGCTTTGACCTTAAATCCAGTTTAGCTTTTAAATGTTAGAAGGGGAGAAGAAATGAAAAAAGCAATGCAGTGAAGTTACACAGCTGCCGAAAATATTAAATGAAAGGGATAAACATCTGTTATCTTGCTCTTCAAACTTTAATGGTTTGGAGAGATATTCTGTTGTCTTAGATCTTTAAGAGCATCTGAGACCCATACAGCTTCAGCACCTGTGAAGATTCTCTCTCCAAACATGGATGCACTTCAAAGCTTGCTGTTCTGTTCTTTGCCAACCATATGTCACTGAGGAACACAACAAATTATTGATCATATTTAGAAGGTCTTAGACTTTGGTTTGGTAAATGTTCTGAGGGATAACCAAAGCAGTGTTCAAGCCTTGGCAAATCTGGAATTCAATTCGTTCACTTCAAAGAAAGATAAATTAATTAAAGTAGGCCAATAAAAGGGGAAGGTTATTTTTATTCTGAAGTTTTAGAGAAATTCTCAGTATGCTACAAAATATATTATCCACATACATTTTTTTCATGCCAGTTATCAAGATTAGGTGCAAGTGAAGTGAAACAGGAATCAACAGGATTAGTGGAATATATTTCTGTTTTCATTTCCAATGGGTCTCTGCCAAAGTCATTCATTACAGCTTGCAGGGTTTCCAATTCCCCTTATATTTCTAAACTGAGCATCCTGTGAGAGATCAGCAAGTAAACATTTCTTACCTGCCTCCTAATAGTAAAAGGTGCAGCTATTAAGATCCTAAAATAACATGCTAAAATACTTGCCCTTGAAAGGCATTGGCTTTCTTGTGATACACTGGAAACATCTCATCAAAAAGGACATATGCATATTCTCAATACAATACCTAAGCTGAAATCCTATATACCCTTGCCTGAGAGTGTTTGAACTCAGTGGGGCTTACATCTGAGGTAAAGGTAAGGGACCCCTGGATGGTTAAGTCCAGTCAAAGGTGACTATGGGGTGTGGCGCTCCACTTCACTTTCAGGCTGAGTTCGTCTGCAGACAGCTTTCTGGATCATGTGGCCAGCATAATTAAATTGCTTCTGGTGCAACGGGACACCGTGTCGAATTCCAGAGTGCACGGAAGAGCCATTTACCTTCCCGCCGCAGTGGTACCTATTTATCTACTCACACTGGCATGCTTTTGAACTGCTAGGTTGGCAGGAGCTGGGACAGAGCAACGGAAGCTCACCTCATCATGCGGATTCAAACTACCGACCTTCTGCTCGGCAAGCCCAAGAGGCTTGGTGGTTTAGACCACAGAGCCACCAGCGTACATCTGAGTAGAAATGCACAGAATTATGCTGTCAGGCTACAATCCTATACCCCACAGTAATTAA